GAGAGAGAGAGAGAGAGAGAGAGAGAGAGAGAGGTGTCAGATCTCTCAGAGCTGGTGTTACAAATGGCTGTGAGCCTCCTTACATGGGGGCTGGGAACTGAACTTCGGTCCTCTGGAGGAGCAGTATGTACTCAATCTCCAAAGCACTCTCATGACTATATTGTAAAGAAGGTTCCTCAGGTATAGGAATGAGGTTTGGGCAGATGAAGTCACTTGCTCAGGTTTAAGTAAATTAATAAATGTTGATGGTGACAGCTTAAAAATAGATATGTGTGTGTGTGTGTGTGTGTGTGTGTGTGTGTGTGTGTGTGTGTGTGTGTAAAGACCTGTGGAGGCCAGAGATGGTGGATCAGCTGGAGCTGGGAGCTGAAGCTACATGTGGTTGTGAGCCACAAAACATGGGTCCTGGGAACTGCGCTTCAGTTCTCTCGGAGGGCAGTGCCTGTTAACTGCTGTGCCATCTCTCCAGCCTCTGGAGGTGACATCTTGGTATTCATTTATGTTTCCAAAGTTTGCACTTAACATTCACTGTTAGCTGTGGACGTCCTGTGTTCTTAGAGTATGTTGAGACGGTAAGTAATGTTGCACACTCATTTTTGATTTTGATGAAGTTACTATATATAAAAGTTTATAATATGTTTTTTTGAGACAAAGTCTTGCTATTTAGCTTAGTCTGGCTTCAAATTCACTGGACAGCTCAAGCTAGCCTCAGCGTCTCAACAGCCTCTGGAGTGCTAGGATTACAGGTGTGCCCCACCATGCCTGCCCTATGATATCTTTTTAAAATGTACTTTTCTGTAATGATTTTAAAAATACAGTTAGTCCTCTGTATTTGTGGATTTCACATCCTTGGGGTCAACTAGCCTCAGGCTGAATACATTGGAAGAGAAACAATTGTGTCTGCCCTGAGCATGTACAGACCTCCTCACCATTGCTCTAAACACTACACCATAGGAAGTATTCCCACAGGATCCCATTGTGTTAGGTATTGCATGTAATCTAGAGAGACTTAAAGTGCCCCAGAAGATGTGTGCCAGCACTTCACGTTGTCACACAGGGACTGGAGAGCCCCTGCTGATGTGTATCTTCAGGGGGACCTGGAAACAGTTTCTTTACTCAAAAAGTCTTCCAAATTCAGAGTTTTCTAATTTGGAAGTACTTTCATTGTGTTGCTGGAATTACTATGAGCAGACATTTCATAAAAGGTTTAAGTATGTTTGTTGACAGGTGATATGAAATGCAGGAGAAGCCTTCGAAGATGTGTATCTGTATTTATTTTGTATGTAGCCCAGCCTGGGACTTGCCATGTAGCTGAGGCTGCTTTAAACTTGTAATCCTTTCAGTCTCTTGAGTACTCGGATACAGGCATGAGCCACCAGGACTGGCTGGACTAAAGTCTGTGTGATCTAAAAGCAATGCCTGTACATTGTAAGAAGTCCAAAAATATGGCAAAGTACAAAATGAAAATGAAATCTCATATCATACTTGAATTTAATAGTTTATATATATTATTTTTATGTATTTTTTTCATTTTACTCATATAAAATCATATATGCTATTTTCTTTTTAGTGATGACTTTTGGCTATTTCTCCTTGCCAGCACTCATAGGTCTAAATATATTTGTGTACGTGTGTTTGTGTGTGTGTAAACACGTGTATTAGTTATTTTCATATATTTATTGGTTAATTGGATTTTTATATTTGTACCCTTTTCTCACTTTCCTTTGCCGTTTCTTTTTCTTACTGATTTGTAAGTGCTCTTTTAATTAGTTTTTATTTTGGGAGTGTTGAAGATTGAACCAAGACTCTTTTTCCCCAGCTTTGTTAGTTACCTTTTTATATTTGTGAAATTCACATTATAAACCGTAGATATTTTCCCAGATTCTCTTTCAGCTTTAATTTTGCTTCAGCTTTAAAAATATGTATGTGTTCATGTGTGTGTGCCCATGACTATACAGATGTACACGTGTACTTATGAGCATGTGCTTAATGAGGTCAGAAGACCATCTCATGTTGTTCCTCAAAGGCCTTCTGTCTTTTGTGTGAGACAGTCTCTCTTTGGCTTGGGGTTTTACCAGTAGATAACCCTAGCTGACCTTCAAGCTCCTGGGGATCTTGCTGTCTCTGGGATTATGGGCGTGCGCACTGGGCCTGGCTTTTATGTGGATTCTGGGGACGTGAACTCAGGTTCTTATGCTTTCAGGCCAAGCGCATTGCTGACCAGACAATCTCCCCAGCTCCTAACTTTTGTGGAGTGACATGCAGCAGTCTTTTCTCTCATGGACCTGGGGATTTT